AGCAGCTGTTGTAGCAGCAGCTGTTGTAGCAGCAGCTGTTGTAGCAGCAGCTGTTGTAGCAGCAGCAGCAGCTGTTGTAACAGCAGCTGTTGTAGCAGCAGCAGCAGCTGTTGTAGCAGCAGCTGTTGTAGCAGCTACAGCAGCTGTTGTAGCAGCAGCTGTATCAGCAGCTGTATCAGCAGCAGCCTTCATGTGCTCTTTTGATGAGCTGCTGTCAACACGACCAAGCTGAAGTTTGTTTCCCCTTCAGGTCCCGACAGCTGGAGCTGGAGGACAAGCACAGCAGCTTAGAGCTGGAGTACAGGAAGTACATGGAGCTGAAAGGTGAGTGTTTGCACACAAACACACACACACTCAAACTGTTAGTGCTGAATTAGTTTAAACGGAGCCGACCAACTTATAAACAAACACCGGCTTTAATCCAGACCCTCTTCTTGGCCATTATTAGTCCCAACAATATAATTTATGTCGTATTCACTGGCTGCAAACGGCTCTTTTGAAGCCGTTAGTTGTTCATTATTCTACCCATTGTCTTCATGTCCATCTCCTGTGGGTCTTTTATCTATAAGGTCTATTAACGCACCTGTGACGAGTTATAGTTCATCTGCTGGACATTGACTCCATGACACTGTCTGCATTGCTCTGAGTTTTATTTTGTAGACATGAATGCTGGGAGCTCGTGTTTCTGCGAGCTGCCAACACGGACGGTTGCCTCCGTATCTGTTAAACTGCTTGAGATACGGCCATGTTTGTTTTGCCTGTTGTGGATTAGCTGTGGCAGACATTTTGAATTAAGGTAACTCAAAGCTAGTCAGCTGTAGATGTTCATGCAGTGTCACTTTCTGAGAGTTTATTCAGTTCTTTTCTGTGATTCATAAGATGTTTTGCTAACAAACAGGGCTGATGCCAACAGGTAGTTTAAATCTGATCTTACACAATTCCTTGGTGTCAAAGTTCATGCTTAGTCATCCAGGTAACAAATCCAGTAACGCTCAGTCAGGTCATCTGGACAGTTTAATTTTTGTAGAGACGTTTCACTCTCTATCCAGAGGGCTTCATCAGTCTGAGGAGTTCCAGTAAACTGTTTCCCCACCAAGCAGTAACCTCCTTAAGTGGACCAACTGGTTTTCTGGAGGCTGTCCTGTCCCCTGTTGATTCCTCCCAGGCATGTAGCCACAGCCAAAGTGATGCAAGACGTCTGTTTGGGATGACTCTCAGCTGCTACCACACCAGGAAAAGTGTATTTGTGCTGATTGACTGTGGTTCTTATGTAAATTTGATTTATTTATTTATTTATTTTTGTCTAACAGACAAGACTCCCGATCAGCAGGTTGAAGAGGACCAGATTTTTCAGCAGATAATTGAGGTGGTGGAAATGAGGGACTCTCTGGTGACATTTTTGGAGGAGAAGAGGCTGAAAGAGATGAGTGAGAAGGAAGAGGCCTTCTCCATCATGGAGGCCAAGAGACACTCAAAGACGGGATCTCAGGTTCAGTGGGCCTAAATCATCTGTGTGCACAAACATACCCACAGAGGCTGCACGGAGCCGTGCGCTGTGCAGGGGAGGCTTCGACTTCTGCTCCTTGTCAGATTTTAAACTTGAGACTTCAGTTTGCAAAGCCAAAGATCCTGAGGAGTTGTTGTGGAAAGCAGCAGACCACGAGTGGTCCTCTTGAAAGAACAAAGGTTGTGACTATAACAAGTGCATCAGCAGCCTGCCTGCACGATCATGGGCTCATGCCACAGACTTCACATGATCTTTATCTGCTCTCAAAGAAACCCATCGGGCTGCCTTCAGCCAGCCTGGACTGTGGCCTGCTTTAGTGCCACAAACCTGGACTGGGATGGGAACATGTGAACGATGTTCTTTCTGGAAATACAGCAACTTAATGTACATGTTGCTTTCAACTGTTCTGGATAAATTCTTCTACATAAAAATCCCACTATATACAGAAAATACAGACACGTTTACTGAATATCTGAACATAAAGGATGTTTTAAAAAAGATTTAAAGTAGTACAATAATGAATGAAACGTTTTTGTGTTAATATCCAGTTTTAATGTGTAAATGTTGATGAGTTTTGCAGTGCGTTCTGCTTTCACAGCATTTAGTTTTTTTTGTTTTTAGCACGTTGGTCCGTTAATCTCAGGGCTTGGTAGTTCAGTCCTGTGGGATCAGAGGTATCTACTGATGGCCCTCGGCTGGCGGCGGCTCTTTCCACGCAGGATGTATTCTACGAACACGGAGACTGTAGGGCGAATAAAGAACCCGCTCTAAATGGATGTGCATCTGTTTCTGAAAGCCTTCACTGATCATCTGCAGATGCTGCTGAATGAATCGACAGCACATGAAGAAAACACAAAAGACCAACATGGGGAAAGTTAAAAGAAGCTTTTTATCGTCTTTATTGTCTCGCTGCCATTTTGTGCCACATGAACTGCTCTTCAGTCCATCAAATAAAGATTCTACACTTTGTATAGTTTTTCTTTATTTCCTTTGTTTGGTCGTGTTTAAATCTCCTCAGCAGCTAAATACAGAAATGGGTGAAAGAAGAGGCCTGCTGTTCTTCCAGCTCCTAACCTCCAGAGTGCACACGAGGTTTATAAATACTAGTGATGTCAAAATGAAGCTTTTTGAAGCATAGAATCATTTTGAACCATTGTGACATAAAGTGGTTCACTACCCGAAGCTTCATTCAATCCCCTTGGGTGACATGTACTGGCAGTAGCGATTGTTGCACCAACTGAAGTCCTGCGAATACGATGCACTTCTTGCATAATTAACTTATGTTTGTATACATGTGTGTTGTACATGTTTTTACTACCTCATTAAAGATTCTGAATAATTTACCCATATTACTGTAGGCTAATTTAAAAACAATGTGGGGGGGGGGGGGGTCCGTGTGTCCTCCCCCAGAAAAATTGGAATAAAAGAGATGCCATCTCCTGCATTTTGGTGTATTTTAACAGGTTGTTAAACATTTGAATAAACTGGTTAAAAACAGGTCTAGTAAATGACGAGGCTCAATGAGACTAAACCTGTATAAATAAAGGTTGAATTGAAATGACTATTTTAGAGAGCAACAATTAACAAGCCTGTGTGTGAATGCACGTCCTTGACAGTCTGTCAGGTGTCCTAACCCCCCCCCCACACACACACACACACACACACACACACACACACACACACACACACACACTGCCGACCTGAACTCTTCTCAGCTGAATTCAGTCCTGTGTGTTCTGCTCCAGTCTCACTGCCATCCATCCATTTAGTTTAGATAAATTGTCTTTTCAACATTTTGGTCGCTTTGACTAATTAGTGCTGCTGCTTTGATACATGATCAGAATCAGTTTATTATCGCCATGTCAATGAACGAGGTTCACAAACTAGGAATTTGCTTCGACATAAGGCGCGAATAGTAATAAAGTAAAATAAAGTAAAAATGAAGTAAAAATGAGAACATTACATAAGACATAAGCCTGTGTACACCCATACAATAGAAAACAATAAAAAAGATTAGAAAACAGTACAGATGGAGTATTCAGTTATAATACAGATGTAATGTGACCAAAGCAGAAATTATGAGGTAGCATTATGAGTGTTCAGGAGTCCAACAGCAGAGGGGAAGAAACTGTTCTTATGGAGGGAGGTTCTGGTCCGAATGGACCGAAGCCTCCTGCCTGAGGGGAGTGGTTCAAACAGTCCGTGTGCAGGGTGAGCAGGGTCAGCTGTGATCCGACCTGCTCGCCTCACAGTCCTGGAGACGTACAGGTCGTGGAGGGATGGAAGGCTGCAGCCGATCACCTTCTCAGCTGAGCGCACAACGCGCTGCAGTCTGAGTCTGTCCCTGGCAGTGGCCCCGGCGTACCACACCGTGATGGAGGAGCTGAGGATGGACTCCATGATGGCCGTGTAGAACTGCACCATCAGCTTGGCCGGCAGCTTGGCCTTCTTCAGCTGTCACAGGAAGTACAGTCTCTGCTGGGCCTTCTTGATGAGGGAGCTGATGGTCGGCTCCCACTTCAGGTCCTGGGTGATGGTGGTGCCGAGGAACCGATAAGAGTTTGCAGTGGTGATGGGGGGTATCATTACAGGTGAGGGGGGGCAGAGGGGCTGTGGCTTTCCTGAAATCCACAATCATCTCCACTGTCTTCTGGGCATTGAGTTCCAGGTTGTTGCTGCTGCACCAGGTCACCAGCCGGTCCACATCCCTCCTGTATGCAGACTCATCACTGTCCGAGATGAGCCCGATGAGGGTGGTGTCATCTGCAAACTTACCCATGTAATGAATACACATGTAATACACATCAAACATTTCACTCGGTTTTTTTTGTTTTTTTTTACTGTAAGCTTATTTTTATGTCTGAAATGTTATGCACTGTAATGTATGCAGGAGTTCTGACAGCAGTTGTGCGCGCGTCCTGCAGAGCTGTCTGGAGACGCTGTGCGTAAAACACCGGTCTCAGGGCGCACAGCTGGAGGAGGATGAAGACGCTCCCCGCACAGCTGGAGGAAGATGAAGACGCTCCCCGCACAGCTGGAGGAGGATGAAGACGCTCCCCGCACAGCTGGAGGAAGATGAAGACGCTCCCCGCGGGACATGCAGTCCATGTCTCTGCTGGAGGACCGTGGCGCGGCCACAACATCCACTCGTTGTACTTTTAATAAATGATCAAATTAAAAATGCGCGATGACTTTGGAGTTTTGGGGGCGGAACTGGTGGATCCGAGCGGTCAAAATGATAGAGTTCCAGGATCTTGTTCTGACAGGATCCGACTCAAATGAACCACTGTCTGAATGTAAAAAACAAGAGCTATTAACATATAATACGTGAAGAACGGGGATGTGAACCGGGGCTTGAGCATCTTAAATACACTGAATCACACCAGATGTTTGAAACTCCGCCTGTCAACTCGAAGCAGTCAGCTGACTCTGAATGAAGCAGTGAAGTGGTTCACACGTCATCGGTGACGTCACATGAAGCAAGCTCCTGGGAACGGCCCACTGTTTCACCATAACTACCCTGTTGAGTTTGAAGCATGCTTTGAAGCTTTGGTGTTAGAGGTTACATCACTAATAAATACTAAAGGATTTGGTGTGTTCAAAATGATCCGAGCACAGAATTTCAGGAGCACTTCACCTTAGTATAAAAGATTTAATTGAGACAAAGTTAAAGTATGCAGATATTACATGTAATCAGAGTGCATTCTGAGGAACAAGTCAGAGTGAACCTTGCCTGGTCAATCAGCCGATGTTTGTTCAACCAAACTTTGTGTCTGAGCGAGATTTATAGGTTTGTCATGTCCCGCCCTTTCGGGTTCAGACAGACTTGTGATTGGATGTCAAGACCTCTTGGTAGTCTGGGTGACACCATGTTCAGCCACTCAGGAGCATATCTTACCTCCATGGCAACCTCCGAAGGCCACAGACAGCTTTTGGCTCATTCCTACTGATAAGGGTTGATTTAAGAGCTTTGTTTTGGAACGCAGGACACTTACTCTGGCTCTCGTCTGTGTAAAGCTTTAAAACACGTTTTCTGTGTGTCTGAACTATTATTAATGTGAAAGCATATATACTCAACCTGTGTTAAGTATAAAGTATATGAATGTTGTGATTTAGCGTTATTTGTGTTTAATCAACGTGTGAGTAGTGTGTCACATTGGTGGGCCCTCACTCTCAGCTGCTTTACTCAGAGAACAAAGAAGGATCGTTTCCTGCTGCACGAACAAGTGTCTTACCTGTCTCTGTTTCCCTCAGAATTATATCAAATGTGAACTTGTATGATTATCCTTAGCACTTGTGAGATTATATATAACATGAAGTAATTAGTGTATGATTATACACGCACACACCTTGTAGAAAATGCATCATTTCACCTCATCAGAGAAATGTCAAGGCTTGTCAAAAGATATAAAAAGATCTACAAGATATCAAATCCAACACACCCTCTTTTGGTCTCCCCATACTTATGGGAGACCACACCACGTATGATTTGATTTTACAGATATTTTGATTCTGCCCACTCCAGGAGGCTCTGATCCTCTGCGGAGGTGTCACCTGAGTGTTCTATCAGGGTCATGAATTAGCAGTTTCAGTCTCACCCTGAATCATTCTACGAACCATCATTTTAGCACAAGGTATAATAACAATCAACAAAACACAAAAAAATAATAAGAATTGCAGTCAGGGGGGCCAAAATCTTTAGCACAATCTGACTCCAGAGCCGCTCGTGAACCAAGACAGAAACTTCCAGGATCCTGGAGAAGGATCCTCACTCTTAGCCTTCTGCAGCGCATTAAGTTGGTTCAAGGCATTGGTCACCCTGGCCTGGGGGTCGTGTCCGGTCTCATCCGGAACATGGGTGCAACAGGTGTCTAAAACGTGATGATTATACAGCTTGACACTTGTCAGGAGGCAGTGAGCCCACTGCCTTCCGAGAAGCGTCCTGCAGGTGGCGGTAGACACAAATAGGAATTGTTCCTCTGGGGTTCATTCTACTAAATGACTCAGCACCACTTCCTGAGATGATTGCATCAGGGAGTACCTGCGAGTTTTACAACAATGTGGATCTTTAACATAACGGTACCCATGGTTCATTTGAAAACCATGAGACAGATTCAACGTCAGATGATCCACCTCATTCACTTGAGACCAGGCCATGAGTTTAGGGTCG